CATACGAGACCATCTCCCTAACATCTTCTGTTTTTTTTACCAGACTGTTTTCTCTGTGACCTAGATCCAACCCGAGCATAGATTCTAAAATTCTCGCTTGTTTCCACGTTAATGACACTAATGTGCGTTTCGCATGGCCAGCCCAGCGTGACGAACTGCGGGAGATCTTCAACGACATCAGCAGCTCCAGTGAGGATGAGGAGGACGAAGGGGACCGGCACGAGGATGAGGACCTGAATATCATGGACACGGAGGATGATCTGGTCCGACAGCTCCAAGACAAACTCAACGAGTCTGATTCTGCACAGCACGAGAGCGATAGAAACAACCAGATAGGTGAGAGGGTATCAGGGTTTCTACACTGATCTGGAAAACTGTTTAAAATCTGATTTCATTTAGAGGTTTTTACAAATATTGGTGATTGTATAAAAAAGCTTATTGAAGTATAAAAAAAAGTCTTAAGAATTATGGATTTTGTGTTTCTGACATGTAGAGCCAATCCAGGAACAGTTCCAACATTTGTTGGTTTAAACTTCAGAAATGTGAAAAATAAGCTTGTCTCTCTTTTATATAATTTTCATTGAATCTCTTTAGGTTGTTGCCTGTTGGTTGGACAAAGGCACGTTGGCTGCGGGAATATCAGCATTTTTCAATATCTTTGTCATTTTATAGACTAAACAATAAATGAATTGATTGAAATAGTTAAAATAATTGTTAGTTGCAGCCATGGTGTAGTATTTGTTGTTGTCAAAGATACAGTTTGCATCACTTACCAAATAGTTTCTAGTTCAAAAATGAAAGTACAGGAATATTATAAATGAAATGCACGTAGAAACTCATCAATAATATTTGACCTATAGTTGTGTGTCCATATGGTGGGAGATGCATATTAATGTACATCTGGTCTTGAATTGAGCATGTGTGCGTGTAAAGCTATTCTAAGTGCATGTGTATGTATACCAAGGTGGAAGAAGTAAGTGCAGCATTAGAATTATGCAATCCCTCGTGCTGTGCTTGCAATTTGCATTTGCACCTCAGTGTGAATGCTGATTCTGTCAGCCGACTTACCCGGCATACCAACATTTCTTTTTTCAGTCGTAGCGGTCATGGCCAATAACTTGCCATGCTGATTTCAGAACCCACCTGTAGACCAGAGACAGTAGGACATTAAATTAAATCAAACCCCCTTCAGATACCATTCAAAGCCAGGGTATAAAACAACCTTAGCCAGGTGTCTGGACTTCTAATCAGAGCGGAGTTTTGTAGGTTAGACATCACACACACACACACAAATTAGTAGCCCTACTTTCACTTAAATACACATGCCGCACCCTCGCCCGCAGAGATTCACAACACTGACAGTTCTCAGCACTCCTCCTCAGCTGACCAGCCTGACAGGTGTTGTGGCTCAGTGTTCAGCTCCGACAGCTGTCCAGTCTGACAGCTCAATGCCTCCTTATCTACATACACGGAGCTGTCAGTCAGCAACACTATTGGTCAGCTCCACTGTAGCAGCTCAGCACAGCCTTTGTAGACGTGTCAAAGCCTGGCTGTGCGTTTTTCTGGCAGTGCTGCAGAGCTGCAATAAATGGGTCTGCAAGGTCTCCTCCCTGCTTGATGTTGCATGTTAGATGGGCTGTATCAGAGGATTGAGAGTCAGCTGGGGGGGAAACAAAGGATGGATACAATTAGTTTGGAAGGTAGTTGATGGTGATGGAGCCACAGGTTGTTGCGAGGCACTATCACTTTGGCTGGATTTAATGAGAACCCTCTGTGGAGCCCAGAGCAGACTGATTTAGTTGTGTCTTTTAGTGCTTCGGCCTGCTGGCTCACGTCCTTTCTAAATGGATTTGTTGTTCCCATTAACAGCAATTTGTCAAACTGAAATGGAGGTATCCTTGAGGTTCAGCAAGCCGAGGTGCATATCTTGTCCTCGCGAATTTGTGAGTGTAGTGTTGCTCTCAAATTACGTTACATCACTGCTTCATCTGGCTTTTTCTGTTCTTCACTGCACAAGAAAGCAAAGGCATAAATGACATTTGTGTTATGACAGTTGTAACACGTCAACCTTCTGCTGTTCCCTGCAGTTATGGAGTATCAGGTGCAGATCAACAGCGTCAAGGCCAAGCTTCAAGAAACCCGCGCCCGAAAGAAACAGCAGGAGGAGCTCATTATGAAAGTGGAAAACCAGGCCCTCAAAGTAAGCAGTTGAACACACACACGCGCGCACACACATACACACACACACACACTTTTTTCACAGAAACTAGGTCTGCGTGTACAGAAACATAAACAAGAACATGCAGATGAGCTCGGAGGCAGAAGTCCTCATGCAGCATAAGTTCTCTCAACAGTGATGTGAAAACATAAAAAAACAGCTGATTACACACAGTGTTGGAGGCCATTATGTCATGTGTTGTATATTTAAATCCATAAATAATACATTTTTCCCATCAACCCTTTGTTGTATAAGTATTGCTATGCAGGAAAAACTGGCATGAAAATTCATTGTTCTGCCAAGTACTCTTTAGTGGAGACTTTACAATGAGTGAAACATGAGCAGACATGGCCCTTTTTACGTTGCCATTTAGAGCTCTCATTGCCCGGTGTTTTGGGACCGTCAAAGCCCCATCTCCAGTCGTTATTATCACAGTCGCAGGGAAAAGGTCAGCTGTCTCTGACTGGCATTCCAAGTGGCCTTTCTGTCAGAGAGGAGATAGTGACATGAGCAGCCCAGGCAGACACACATTTAAAGCCATCACAATTTAATGAGGCTCAGCATGTCGACTCGAACAAATCTTGTTTGTCTTTCTCCTCTCACAGAACCGCTTCCAAGCTTTGTTGGATGAGATTATTCAGCAGGAGGAGCGGGAGATGGAGCAGGTAAGAACCTTTTTGTAAAAGCCGAGGATCAGTGCTTGCTGCGAGCTTCCTACAGATTTCAGCACTTTGCATGAATTTATCTTGTATGAATGTCAAATACCATGTTACCAGATGTGCACAGTGTCCCCTTTCCAACCCAGTAGTTTTCATGACTGATAGCAAAGTTCAAATTCAATCATGTGAAATTTAATTTGTCAACAGCTACCAGCAGTCCTTTTTGTAGCTATGGCATAGAGGCCACCCACTGTCTTGGGTCGTTGTTTGTATTGACAAATGCAGGCAGCAAATTAATGTGAAAAGACATGTTAATCATCATCCACTTACCCTCCAATTACACCCCGGGGCTGTCGGGCATCAATCACGCCTTCTATTTTCTGCTCCAACAGCTGGCCTCCCTGCAGGAGCAGCTGGACTCACTGATAGAGAAGTGACCACCAGGGGGCAGCCTCATGTCATCTTCAGCCACACATAAACACTGAGAAGAGGCGGAGGAGGAGGAGGAGGAGAAGAACCTTCATCCAGGGGGGAGGGAGTCTTTATTAGCTGATTTGCTGTGTCATTCTTTTCAGTTTGCCTTTTTAAACATTACACGTACAAATATTTCTTTATTAAAAGTCAGTGTTTTTTATTAAGTTGTATAAATTTGTTGTTAGTTACTGTATGATTAAAGTGTATGTGTGGCTTCACAGAATATTGTGTCTGTATTGCTCTTCAACTTAAAGCTAAATGTACTCTCACCCTCAGCTCATCCTCTTTGTAGTTCAACATGAATAATAAATTACAGTAACACACAAGTGTCAAAGTCTGCAGTTTGATATTGGTAATTAACATCATTTTTCTACAGGTGGATAAACCTTCCTCAAAGTTTCAAAGACTGTGAAACTGAAGTTAGTTATCTTCTGTAATGTAACTTACTTCCATGTGGAACAGGCAGATACGATGCAGCAGGGGACTGTTGGCCTCCACACGCACCTGCGTTTTTAGACCAGGAGGAGGCGGTAAGGGTTAACTAAACAAATTAGATGTCAACCAAAACCTTTGTTTTCATAAGTTTACCAGCTAAAATCCAGACACTCCTACTATGTTGCTCTGCTAGCTACCCACACTAACTGATGGTCAAGTGTGGTTTTATATGATGGGCAGGTTAGCTAGTCGCCCTAAATCACATTTGATGGGTCCAATTTATGTAAGTGAGTTAAAGATGACTCATCAAAAATATTTTTGACACATATTTAGCATGAAACAAGAATTAACTCGGTAACAAAAGGTTAGAACTTGAAAAAATGTGTTTGTCATTGAAGTGTGTTTAAACTAGGTTAACATCATCTGACTGTGCCACTGGAAGCATACAGTGGATTGCATCATTGTTACTGCTCAGTGTATTTAGGTACTGTCCACTGAGCTTACTGGATTTTAACTGTCAAGATCATTTTTGTCTCAGAATCTGGATTTTAATCTTAGAGTTTCTCACATATCCAAGTGCTTCATGTTCAAATGAGAGCCGACGTGATTAACTGATTAGCTGATTGACAGAAAATCATTTGGTAACTAGTTTGATCATTTATTAATTGAGTCATTTTTTAAGCTGAAATTTGTTTACAGTGTCTCGTGAGGACTTGCTGCTTTTCTTTGTCTTATGTGATTATAAAGTCAAGGTGTGTGGGTTTTGGAGTGAACAAAAATCAAGCAATTTGATGACATAACCTTGGGCTTCAGGTTGTGATGGCAGTTTCTGATATTTGACAGATGTACAGCCCTCATAGCATGGCCGGACAGCTCGGTCACTAAACCGCACGTCACAAGATTACTCTCCTTCCAGAATGATCTTAACTTGGTCGACGGTGATCTGGGTCCTGGTGGCCCTCCCTGCCTCACCCACTCCTTCCTGCACGGATTGCCCCTCCAATCATAGGGGTAGGCAAGAGATTAGCTCCTCAGATTAAAGTGTCCACCTCCAAACCCTGCTTAATCCTGCCATCTGTCAGAGAGCATCTAACCAGCCAAGACTCTCTCCACTAGGCTAATTAGAAAGCCAGAAGAACACAGACCTAGAAAGGGAAAAAGAAATCTCTAAAACACACATTTTCCTGTCTTGTACTGCTCAAGGCAGAGTGACAATGGAGGAGACATACCTTCTAAACCATCCAGGAGTCAGGAAGAAGATTCTGGCTGGAGGGACAGGACCACTGCCACACTTTCCACCTGGGACAAAGGTAGCAAGTCACACTTAACATGATAACATAAATAATACTAGATTCAAACTCAGTATGATTGGAAAATTATTCCTAGCATGATTACCATTGTGATGTAATTTGTTCCACATAAAAAAAATTCTATTTTTAGCTATGTGTTGCCCACTTCAATTAGATTCTGTTGAATTATTCATGAAGTGAGGAAATTTATTCTGTATCTGGCACTTACACACAGAGCAAACATTTGGTCAACCAAATTGCAACATGTTTTTTGGCACCGTATCTGTGTTCCTGTTCATCCACTGATCCGCTGGTCGCCGACTTCCAAGTCAAATCCAGCCATATGGCTTCGAGCCTGGACACTGTGACAAACATTTTCCATGACAATGCCAGCATGAATTTCCATTTACCTGTGTGTCTGTATTACAGTGAGTGTGTGTTCCCTCCCCGGTGAGGTGATTCCCGGTTGCTCACACAGTTACCAGACCATTATACACAATCTGTCAAGCTATAAATAGAAGGTTACATGCAGCCAGTGTAATTTTACAGTCAGAGTGATGGTGAAGGCTTTGTTAGGCTTTCACATGCACACAAACAGATGGAACACATAATGAAAACAAGAATGTTTTGTGTCACATAAGAAATGATTCAAATATGTGACAGCATTCAGTGAAATTCACCTTGTTTAAATAGATATATCAATCTTGATACAATTGTCAACAGCAGCACATTGTCAAAGTTGACAAATATTATTATGTTACTATTTTGTCTATTGCATTCATTATGTTATGTGTATTTTATACATATAAACATGTTCAAAAAGGGAGATAAGACATGAATGAATGTACATACATGTAAATTAAAAAGACAAAGGCAGTCATTCTTCACTGTAGATTTAAATAGTGAGATGAAAAAGATGTTACACTAATTATAGAACTGCTGTTTTGAAAAGAAACATGAAAATATTTTTTTAGCTCGTAAATAGAAGGTCTTAAGATTTCTCTCAAAGGACAAAATAACATTTTAAATAATGCGGAAATCCAAGGTCTTTGAAAATATGTGGGGATTATTCATAGACCTCCTGAAAAAATATCCCACAGAGGATTCTTCAATACTAGAACTCCATTTGTTATTTTAAAGTACAATATATGGTCAAACTGTACACCATAATGTATTTTTTTAAGTATATTTTGTTGAGGAATTGTTTCATTCATTAATCTTCACCGTCCAACTCTCCCTGTCCCCGGCTCCCTCCTTCCATCCCAGCTGGTATTCCACTTCCAGACACTCTTGGACAACTTTGAACGAACGGTCATCGATGACAGTCGACTTGCCGGCAGGCCAGCTGAGATCTTTGTCGGAAAGATGTTCAAGATGGAAGTCTGGGAGACCCTGCTGATGTCCATGAGGACTGGAGAGGTGGCTGAGTTCTGGTGTGATTCCATTGTGAGTTGAACTGCAGACTCACAAGGCAAGATATGAGGCCCCCAAACGAGGTCCTAATAGGTGTTCATGAGCATGGAAGGGAAGCTTTTGCTCCTCATTACGATGCACATGAATCAACCATCTGAAGCCTCCTATATGCCCTGTATTATAAACACAAACAGAAAAATCTCTTTTGTGCAAATTGCAGTGTTTTTCTTCTGGAGAAAAATGTAATTTGCAAGTAAAATTGTGGCCATTTCTTGTGTTTTCCTGGTAGGACTGATTAGCACAAGCTGGCAGCACCGGGGGGTTAGCGCGATTAAGTGCTTCTATGTCTTGTTGCAGACCTGTTGTTTATGTTCTGTTGATGAGTTCATTTTGCAGCACACAGGCTTGTACCCCATCGTGTCCAAAGGAATGAGGCTGATCGCTCAAGGGAAAGACCCCCTAGAGGGCCAGAGACACATGTGTGGTATGGGGAACATGTTCAACTATCACTCCACTGGTTTCCCAGAGCTGGATGAGCTAATGAGAACTCCTCAACCACTTATATTCATCATGGAGCTGTTGCAGGTAAGCGCCAGTGGCAATATACTGCATGTCACAGTGAATAGCAAAAGAAGAAGACAGCGTGGAATATAATCAGCTGTCTTTTCTTCAATAAACAGCTTTCCTCGAATTGAAGCCTCTATAAACATAGACTCACAGTAAAAAAGACACATTTACCTATTCATCCAAACCTCTTCTAGACGTGAGACATTCCTACACACAATTTTCTAAAACCCACTGACAGAAATGACAAAAGAAGTCCCACTCTGCCTAAGATATGCACATTTGAAATAATATAGTATCCAGAACCAGTTTGAAACTCACCAGGGGGTCCAGCAGCGGTAGCAGTAAATTATCATCTTCCCTGTTTTACAAGCTGACAACTAATACTCAGATCCTTTACTTAGGTAAAAGAAGCAATACAAATAAAATTTTAAAAAACTCTGAATTTATGTTTAGTATTACCAGAATAATGTGGAAGTATCCAAAGTACTGGCCTTCAAACCCAAGATCCAATAACAGCATATTTGGTCAGATTTGAGTAAAAACCAGAAAAATTTATTTTACATCTCATTTAACAATGAAAAATATTATTCCATAGAAATGTTTCAGCCTAATAAAAAAAGAAGTACATTTTGGTGTAACCGAACCACAGGGAAGCACTCCAGCTGTGCAACGGTTACACACAATTAGTAGCCCTAAAACTCCAAAGCTTTTTTTTCTCACTGTTTCTGCGCTGCTGTTGGCCTTTGTAAGGCAGTATAATGCTCCCTTTTAGAGTGTTAAATTATCCTGGTCTTGAATGATTGAATATAACTGAAACATTATATGCTAGATAATATTGTGTGCACAGAAAATAAGAGCACTCTCCTGTTAGTTTTGTTGCAAGACAAGTTAAAACAAAGAATGACTGTTATCGGTGACTTCACGTGAATCCCAGCAGAGCTTTGCACAATTCCAACCTGAGCCGATCTAACTAGCCACAACCTGTGTGGTTCATTTCTAGTAATACATCAAAATCTTAGTAACTATAGCTATCAAACAAGTGAAGTAAAAACTGTATTTCTCTCTGAAATGTAGTGAAGCTGAAGTATAAGCACCATAAATTGGAAATAGCAAAGTACCTCAAAATTGTATTTAAGTACAGCACTGGAGTACTACATTAACCTGCTTCAATTGCTGGAGTTTGTCTCCTTTTGACGTTTTTGTTCTGTTACGCTCTCCTCCTGCCCCTGCTGCTTCCAGGTGGGAGACCCCATGTCCTACCACAGAGAGTCGTGGATGATGGAAAAGGATGAGAAGCTGCAGACGGTGCCGATTCTCCACATGCAGGGCAATGCGCTGGTCAAGCAGAGGCAATTCAGAGAGGCTGCCAGCAAGTACAAAGAGGCCGTCCTGCTGCTGAAAACAGTCCAGTCCAGAGTGAGTGAACGATTAGAGGAGAAAGATAGGATGGAGGGAGCAATATGAGTGAAGTGCAGGCCTGTGAATGTTGAGGTTTTCTCAAATTTTAGGTTTATGGGACATGATGCAACCCGTGCTCTTTTCCAGTGGGAGATTCCTGTTTGTTGTGCTCAGCTCCACCGTGTCCCTGATTACAGGCAGTACAGTGGGAAGGCTGGCAAAGGAAAGAGGAGGGAGAGCTGTGGAGGACTTGCCAGGGGGGGGGGAGATACTGGAAGAAGAACAATTTGTGTATGAGATGTTCTGACGAGAGAGTGTAAATTCTTTTGTGCCTGAGAGGGATTTTTGGCAGCTTTAGACACAAGTTTGATGTTGAAGGATGTTACAAAGAGTTGGCCTGTGTGCTCACGGCTAGTAAAGCTCTGATAGGCAGAGATGATGTTTTATTATCCCAAATCCATGCCGTGTTTGAATCTGTGAAAATACTTCAACCTACACCTAAATTCACTCAATTATTAAAATGTGTGTAGGAGATGTCAAGGAACATTACAGCACTGATCATGTTCTTGTTCTTTCATCTGTGTGTGTGTGTGTGTGTGTGTATGTATAGGAGATGCCGGGTGATATAGACTACATTAATTTGGGTCGAATGATCATCCCTCTGGAGCTGAACTACTGCCAGTGTATGTTGGAGCTGGAGGAGTATTATGAAGTTATAGAGCACACCACTGAACTGCTGGAGAAAAACAAAGGTAAATGCCTGGTTGGACTCTGACTGAGTTGGTTTATGCTCATGTTTGGCACTGAAACACATCTTTAATTTACATTTTTTCAGGGGGAGTTAACTGAGCACACTTTCTATTCCAGTGTTACCTAGCTTCAAATGAACACAGTCGCATCATTTTGTGAAATATGCTTATTCGAGTTCGACGTAAAGATCGATACCGCTGTCATGTGTGACAGTTAGCTTAGCATAAAGACTGGAAACAGTGGGAAACAGCTAGCTTGGTAAAATGTAAAATGTAAAAATTCAGATTACAAGCACCTCTGAAACTACTGAGAGTTGTGCGAAGCCATAATTTTGGCTAAGCTAAGCTAATCACCATCTGGCTATAGATACATAAGTTTAGCTCAGCTTAGCATGAAGATGTAGAAGTAAAAAATGGTTGACACAGCTATCCAACCCCATAACTTTGGCTTTGTATAGATTGAACAAACAAAATATAACATGTTTTAGCTTTGGAGGTGCTTGTAGGTGGATTTTAGTTACGTTTGGACAGAGAGGTGTCCCCTAGTTGCTTTCAGTCTTCAACTTTGTCCTGCTGGCTGTAGACTGCTGTTGCTCTCACGTGTGTTAAATATGAAACTACAGCCAGGAGATGGTTAGCTTAGCTTAGCATAACGACTGGAAGTAGGGGGAAGCACTAGCTACTTCCTGGCTTGTCATATTTTTGTTTTTTTTTATAACAAATGAGATATAGAATGTTAATTATTACGTTGTGAGTTATTTTTACCTTTGGACAGAGCCAGGCTAGCTGTTTCCCCCAGTTTACAGCTCTTATCCTAAACTAAACTAACTGTCCCCTGGCTTTAGCATAATACATAACGGACAGACATGAGAGTGGTAACCCTTTTCTAATCTGACTCTCAGCAAGAAAGCAAATAAGTGTTTCCCAAAATGTCCAACTATTGTAATCAAGTACATGAACAGCTGCCCAGTGATGAGTAAAATGAGGGCTTGTACAAAGTTACTTCCACCCCCGGATATGAACAGCGTGACAAACAATAATTTCAAAATGTTGTAAAAGGCTGACAGGTCAGGGTCTGATGCCCGTGCCGGCTTTATATCCGTGGCTACTGCATGTTTCAGCGGTGGATTCAGAGAGTGTGTAGGAGGGCCTGAGGGTTTTACAGTCGGAGCAGCCCAGGGAATTGTACTGTCATACCCACAGCCTCTCATATAATCCAAGAGAAGCTCACATGCTGGCACAGTCTCCACTTCAGAGCCTTATGAATTATGCCACCGAAGCAGTCTTCACTTTACTCTCTGTCCCTCAGCCTGGTTATTTGTCTTTGTATGTGGCAGGAGGAGAGTGTGTACAGTTGTGAATTTGTGTGCCTGAGCTTGTGTAAACTTTGGGGTGTAAACTTTGTCGCAAGTGAGCTTGAGAGTGATACAGTCTCGTGGAAATGGGCAGGAGTTTCTGAGCTCCGCTGGCCCATTTTGAGCTGTCGCCACAAAGCTGCAGCCTCTTCACAAGTCTTATAAGAATGACTCACCCGACACAAGCGTCTCTCCACCTTCCCTTATGTTCTCTTTTTTCTACGGAAGCTGAGAACGACCATTCTTGCTTTTTACATTTTTTTTAAGCCATTATCTTGATTACAAGTTGATTTCTCTCTTTATTGGGAGAAAACAAAAGGCTGATTTCTCGAGTTAATGAAATCATTTGCAGTGAGAAAATGACTTGGTTTGGTTTTTTGATCACACCTGATTTCAGCCTTCAAGAGCACTGTCATGGATGTTGGGGAGCATTCATTAGTGAAAATAGTTTTTTACCAGAATGTACATCTGAGAATGAATTAAGCTATTCATTTTTCTGGGTATGTGATGCAATGCTGACAAAATATATCAGGAAAGGTTTGAGATTATTTAAATGAGCTCAAAGATCCCTTTAATGTGCAGATTTTTTTTATATATTTTTTCCTGGCTGCTGGCTTGGTCAGTATGAAATTAGCACGTTGCATGTCATTCCTCCTCCACACCATCTATGCATACTGGCATGGCACTCTTCATCTCTGATACACCCCATACCAACAAACTGCGATGCACTGTGTGTTCTGACACCTTTCTATCAGAACCAGCATGCATTTTTTCAGCAGTTTGAGCTCCAGTAGCTCGTCTGTTGGATCGGACCACAAGTACATCAGTGAGCCTTATCCGCCCATGACCCTGTCTCCCTTGGACCACTTTTTTTTTATTTCAAATACGGTAGTTCTTGGCCTCCGTACTTTTCGTTGTCTTTATTTTCCCTTTTCCCAATCCTTTTCTAGCTTCAGTTTCATGTCCCCTCTGTTCGCACTTTTGTCTTCTTTTATTCTCCACTTTACTTGCATTCTCCTTGGTATTGTTGCTCCTTTCATCAATGTCACGTTGTCTGTATCAGTTCAAGTCAGTCACTCTACTGCTGTTTCATCCCTTCAACCCAGTTGCTCTTTAGAAAAGCACCCAATGGTGGCTCACTGCAGCGTCTCTGCTTTTGCCAGAGGCGACAAAGAAATCTGTTTAAATGTTGGCTGAAGAAGGATTTAGCGCAGAGGGAAATGCAGAGGAACAGAAAAACTGAGCCATCAGTGAGTTTCTAACCAAGCACATGAGCTTGTTCTGCTGAAACAGAGGCATACAGTGTGTCTGTGCATGGACATGATTTTTTTTTTTCAGATTTAGTTAGACATTTTGGGAAATACTCTTATTCACTTCTGGCAGAGAGTTACATGAGAACAATGATACCACTCTCATGTCTGTCTGTTAAATATAAGGCTACAGCTAGCAGCGAGTTAGCTTAGCTTGGCATAAAGACCAGAAACAGGGGGAAACAGCTAGCCTGGTTGTTTTCAAAGGTACCTAAGAGGACCTCAGAAGTTCACAAATGAATGGACAAGGGAACGCGTCTGAACAAGGGGGGCACGCAGAGGGGACGGGGGGCATATGCATTGAAACATACATAGGCCTATAATTACAGATGTATGAGTAACATTGCAGAGCACTTTTTTAGTCCAACACCACATCTACATGCATGATGGGCACATGTTATAATACACACACTCAGATCAATCCTGATCCAACACTAAAATTCACACTCAACATGCCAAGACATCCAGTCCACAACCAAAACACATCCTGCTGCAAGTCTAAATCAACTAGAGCCTGACCGATATTATCAGCCGATATTAACCGCAGACATATCCGTATCATATCTGTGTTTTTCTGATATATAATGCAGAGCAGCAGAGCCGTGATGTCTTGATAAACAATGCAGGCCACAGGTTAATTTCATATTGCCTCGCAGCAGTCAGTGGGAGTGGATGACTGTGACCAATATCCTTTGACTTGTTATATGTAAGTTTTGAGAAAAAACACATGCAATTCAGTGTTAGATTCATAAAAATATTATATCAGACTCCAAAAGCCCCTCCTGCCCCCCTGCTTCCATGGTCCATGCACTAAAATGTTAAATCTAGTTTGTACAAAAAAAAATTCACTGTTTTACCAGGAGTTATGTGCAGGACTATTTGCTGCCCCCCCAAAACACCAAATTGTCATTGTCGTTTCTTACAGATATAATAACGAGATATATAATGTGTTAATTAGTGAGCTGTAGTGGTTAACTATTTTATCGTTGGGCAGAGTCAAGCTAACTGTTTCCCCATGTTTCTACTCCTTGTGTGAAGCTAAGCTAAGCTGGCTGGAGCTGCATATTTAACAAACAGACATGAGAATAAGCGTATATCACAAAATGACTTAAAAGAAAAAACTTTCACTGTGTGACATGAGGTTTAAGTGAGGAACAAAGATGCTGCATGTATGAGTTTGTTTTGGAAACTCAGTGCTGTTGAGAAATACAGATACTGACAGTACACCTACACTCTCCTAAACGCAGACAAATCGCCACCTCAGCCTCAGCAGACAGAGCAGGTTTGTTATTGAATATCTCTAGGTTAGACATTAATAACTCTTATTTCTCTCTTTCTTATTATTCTGGTGTGTTTTTTGTTGTTTCTCAGACTGTGTGAAGGGCTACTACAAGAGAGCCAAGGCCCACGCTGCTGTGTGGAATGAAAAGGAAGCCCGAAGAGACTACAACATGGTGGCCCAGCTGGACATCACTCTGGCCTCTCTTGTCAACCGAGAGCTGAAAGCCATGTCAGAGCGCATGAAGGAGAAGTACTGGGAGGAGAGGGAGAAATACTGGAACATGCTAGAGAAAAAGGAGAATGAAAATGAAGAGGTGGAAGACAATGGAGAACAAGATGACAGTGAGAGTGTGACCACAGAAGGTAAAGGTAGAGAAGACTCTCCATCCAAATGTGCTGAAGGCCATAAAGAGGAACTCTTACCTGAGGGAACAGGTAACGAAGAGGAAGCAATCTCTTCTGAGATCAGTCAAAACGCCTCCAATAAAACAGAGGGGAAGGACTGGCAGCAGATGTTACGACTGGTCATGTTGCTGCAGAACGAAGGAAACTTCCTTATAAAAGAAAAACGCTTTGAAGATGCTTCTGTAAAGCTCAAGGAGGCCACAGAATATGTGGATGTCCTTCAGAAGATGGTGAGTTTAACTAATTATACGGTGACGTTGTGTAAAAGCATGCACAAAAGTAGTAATAATATAGTGTTTTTTGGTCAAATGAAGCCTTTTGATGACAAGGATTGTCCAGATGGACAAGATTGATGATCATATTAACAGCCTCCAGTCCAAGTCATTCAGCTTGATGAATGGACTGAATGTGCCAGACAGTAGTCTTACAAAAGGATTGTGCCTCGCAAACTATAATCTGTCACTGTTGCTTTTTCACTGAAGAGCAGCTGTGGCATTGTAGGTATGCTGGCGAAGTGAAGAGCAGAGAAAAGAACGCTAAAAATAACAGCTATCCACAGAGATATCACTGTGACAGCGCTCGCCTCTGCTTCTTTTCCCTTCCTAAAACTCCCTCACTCCTGCCACACCTCGCCGTCTAACTCCCTCACGCCTTTCGCGCACAACAAACTGCCTTCTCTCGTCAACCCACCCTCCTCCGTTTTCATTTTCTCCTCCTCCTATTCTTACAATCCTCTGCCCTTTACCTCATCTCTCCATCACGTTCAGAATCTCATCTTCTTCTTCATCATTCCTCCCAAACCCTTACATTTTCTCTCATTTTGTTGTCACACTTTCACTTTTGTTTCATCTTTTTAACATCTCTCTGCCATCCATCACCACCACCACCACCTCCTCCTCCTCCGCTATTATCCTCCCACTTCCCACCCATCTTGTCCTCTCTGTGTGCTCGGCAGGTAGATCAACAGGCTGAGGACTTCGAGTCGCTGGAGAAAGTGCGCCTTCCGCTGATTCTTAACCTCAGCCAGTGCATGCTGGAGCTCAAACAATACCAGCAAGTGGTGGAGCTCAACAGCAAGCTGCTGAGGAAGCACAAAGGTAATATATGTTAGTGTGAAGATGGAGTTTGAAGCAAGGGAGGGAACAAAAAGACACGTTTTGATATATAAATAGGTACGAGTATATATAAACAAGCTCTGTTTTCATTTCTTTTTCCTCACACACCTTCATTTTTTAGCTTAAACATATCAACATCTGTTGTTAGTACAAATGCGTGGCCCCCAGCAAATGCCTTCCTTCACACCGCAACAATCCTTGATCTCTCTGTTTACCAGGAAAAGAAGGAACCAAACATTTGCAACCGCATCGCTGAGTCTCTCTTTCCCTCCCCTGGCACCCACCCATGGACATCACAGTCAAAAATGAATTCATTGTTTTCTTCTCGTTTCTGCTATGACTGAATTATTTATAGTTGAGGCTGATGTGAAATGGTTGTTCTTATGCTTTCCTTTTCCCTTCATTTACTTCTCTCCAACTTTCGCCTTCTACTTTGTCTGACTCCTGTCTCACTACGGGCGTTCAGTGCAGTTATTTCATTCTCCTTCTAGTCGTTTATTTTACCTTTAACTTTTAGTTTTACTGCTTCTTAGTTTTTTTTCTTGATGACCTCCTGTTTCTTTTCCTGTTGTGTCATTAGGTCTTTACATGTCAATATTTCTGTCATTTCTACCTCTCCACCCCTGTCTTTTCACATACTCCGTAGGTAACTTTAAGGCGGTGTACCAGCGGGCACGAGCACACGCTGCTTTGTGCAATGAGGATGAAGCTCGGAGGGACTTTGATATGGTGGAGAAATTGGACCCAAAATTCAAACCCCTTGTCCGCCAGGAACTTAAAAAGCTGTGTGAGGACATGCGCACCATGCACGCCCGCCAAAATAAGACTTACTGGGATACGACACAGGAGAAGTGGGGGCCTGGTGGAAGCAAGGGAAAGGGTGCAGCAAGAAAGAAGAAATTTTCACAGAGAGCCACTGAAGCAGATAAGAAGAGAGAAGTCAGTAAAATAGAAGACAAGGAAAGCTCAGAGAAACCTGCCTCTGCTGAGAAGGAGGGAGTGAATGACGCAGAAACAGAGAAGAATCCAGATGTGAAAGCAGAGCAATGCAATAAAGAGCTAGAGAGTGGGAGGGCGAGTGGAGAGGGGTTAGATAATGAAAATATGGAGAGTTTTGTGGGTCACGAGGACGGGCAGGTTGTACCAGATAATCGAGCAACAGATAAAGATAGCAATCCCGCGCCCACCAGCACAGGCAAAGATAATGTAGTGAGCAAGAGATCGGTGAGCGATACGGGCAGGAAGGTCAAATGCCAATCAAGTGCTGCACCGGGCCTAAGCGGAACAAGCCAAGGGAACAAAGCCACCAGTGATAAGACAGGAAATGGTGGCACTCAATTAGAATAGACCAATGAGCTGGAATTGTCTGTGTCTCGAGATGAATAGACCCTTAAACTGGGAAAGAACAGCAATATGAATGCCGAAAGTGACACAGGAAGAAAGAAGTGATAAACAGCCGAGCCTCAAATCTCAACAGGAAATACTGATTAGACAAATAAATCCAAATATAGAAGACACTAGAAGAAAAATATATATATAAACAGTTACATTTGGCACCATTCTGAGTTTCATTCTTCAGTTCTCAAAGGTGTAACTGCAGGCACATTAAAAAAGAAGCACAGGCAGACAAAGAGTTTGCCAAATACAAAGTTTTTATTTCTGTACACAAAGAGTAGAAAGCAGCCAGTAACCCACTTGTTATTACAGTAAAAAGCCTTTCTTCAGAAAACGTTTTATACAGATTAAAAACTCCAGAGAAAAGACAGCAAGAAGTGTTTGAGTGCTGGACAATAACATAAAATCATAACCATTAAACAATAAACATTTGAAACTATTAATGAGGTATATTAATGGTTATATTTAAAAGAAAAAAGAAACCTCAGTTCACCAGTAAGGTATGAGTGTGTGTGTATATATGTGTTAGTGTTAAACACCTTGTTTGAGGTTAGGTGATTCATTGCCCTGTCATGTGAGAGGCGACATACAAGCGCACGTGTGTCCTTATTACAAGCTTAGATGCAAATATGGAGGGTGTGATGTAAAGGCAGGACAGTAATGATCGGAGCCTTTAGCGTGTTGGCTGGCTACATGCAGCAACAGAAGTCTGGAGAGCGATAGCAGTGTCCTCTGGGGAGGGACTCTTGCTTCTGTGGAGAGCTTTTTTCTTCAATCACGCAGCTTCAGTCATACCACAGAGAGCAGGGTATGTTTTGGTGAGTGCAGGGAATATAGTACTACCAGTATAGAAATTGGTACATGGCCATCAAGCAGTCTAAGAGAGATGAGGCTCACTGTGTGACTCCTGTTCAGCTGTATGACCATCAAAGTGAATTTAGACACTGGTGTCAAACAGCCGCAACGGCAGAGTGAAACATGGGGACAAACTGTGTGTGGTAATGTAATCACCTAGTGTATTTACTTTAGTCTGCCTGGTCTATATTATCTTAAAATACACACAACAAATGTTGACATGCAGCCCAGTGGGGAATGCCTCATCTTCTCTTCTTTTTTTCACATGTTGTCACTGTTACATAATTTTGTGTACCAACATACAAAAGTATGGAGATAAGAGTGTGAGGCCGCCGGTGATCATCAATGTGTAATGAGATGTGTGAATACCAATAAATAAATGTCTATGAATAAACATTGCTTATCATGTTGTTTTTTTTTTCACCCACGAGCTGAACCGCTGTTCTTTGTTCTGACTTGTGAGAGCTTTACCAAAACAAATTCTTGAGTGATGCTGGTGTGGAGACGGATTCGACAGAGGATAATGATTATCTTAACCAGCTACACAGTGGCAGGCTTCAGTGGAGGTGGAAGTGAAGAAGAGGAGAGTGGTGCTCTCCCTAGCTTCCCTTAAGGCTATTAGCATTTGTATTATGAACGGCACATCACCTTTCCAACTCACAAACCTGTGGTACTGCATCCTTGGGGGCAGTTCCCTAGCAACAGTATCAAAACTAACAGGCAGCGAGTGCTGAGGAGGATGGTGTCAAAATGTGAGCGCTGTGTGCCTGGAGGGGTAGCCCATAATGAATGCAGCACATGGTTTCAAACTCATGTATGTGAGGTCAGGTCGTTTTAAGGATTAGTATGAATTCCTAACTGTGTATACCTCTGTCTTTTCTGTAAGAATGAGGCAATATGATTGCTGAGAAACACACAGAACCACAGCTTAGCAACTCGTTTCAGGCAATCTCTTGTCTTGCTTCTGGTGATTTTGCTGTGGCAGGCACATCAAAGTGGATCTCTCCCACCAGCCCTCCAGCAATAAATGCATTGGATTTTTTTTCCACCTTTCCTCCATTTTCTCAGATCTTTAGGCCCTCCAAGCATCCCCAGTATCATGCACCCATAAAAGCCCTATTTAGCTGGTATCAATGAATGGATGCTTATGCGGCGTGATCCACACTCTAAACTTTTCCTGTTACTCCAAATTAACCACAGGCCTGTCCAGGGAGCGACAGACAACACACAAACGCACGCCTGATGCAACCTCCTTCCCTGAATGAAAAACATAATGTAAGAAGTCCAGAAAGAGTAACTTGTTTTATATGGATTTAGTTTGGATTTAAGGCATTAATTGACTGTGCTATGTTTAGAACAGAATGACCCTGATAAGATGAGGGCAAAGCCATTTTAACCTCTTGTCTTTTTGTAAATCTAAAAGCAATTAAGTATGATTAGCAAGGGAAAATTAGGCATAAAGAGTCAATAGCTACTGTTCTTTTTAAATCTACATGGAAGGGGGGGATTATTGAGGATGAAGTCAGTGTAGGATCACGTTATGGTGGCGTGCCTCATCCCCCCCTGTAGCATCTGGAAGTGGCCTTGCAAAGAGAGAGAGTGAGAGAGGGGGCTTCAGCCTGGCAGCACTATTGCCTGGAGCTGCTTCTTTCTCTTTCTCGGCACACAGCAGGAGAACACTAAGACTCCAGAGCAGACGCCTGCGTGCTGATATTTATCGGCAGACATTTCCTCAACAAAACCCAATTTCACTCACAATACAAATTGGCTCAAAACTGAGAGCTTGTCTGAATCCCCCAAAAACCAAAGAGATGAAATATATCTCCATTTTTATGGAAGTCTGTATTTTTAGTGATGCAGCACAGCACATGTTATTGATCATGCAGGGAGCTTTTTGTGCACAATGAGGAAAGGGTGCATTGTCAACAGGGAGTATGGATGTAGCAGCATACATGTGTGTGTGCATGTACGGTGAGTGCAAGTGGTTCTGTATGAGCGTAAAAGGCTCACTTAGGAGAGGTGAGCAATGAGAGTGACAAGCAGTTTGAGAGATTAGAGGAACACAGTGTGTGCATACAGAGGCGCTGTGCTAGCGGGCACTTTGGCTGTCTTAAATAAATCATGGATTTAACTGATGATGTGTCATTCTAAGTAAATAGTAAATAAGCTCGTTGTGGGCGCTGTCAACTCCCTGACAATCTGCACCATGCAGCCACATGAAATGCAGTCAGCCCAGCCCTGATCTAGTTTTCACTAGCAAGCTTTAACCCACCACCTCCCTTCAAAAAACAAAATAACAACCATGATAACACATTCAAGGAGAAAGAAACCCCACAAACACTGAAGATACAGGCATTCTGACAAAACAAGGGGATCTTCTTCTTATTCCTTTTTGCATTTTTTTAAGTTCTTTTCGTGGAAGGTCCAATTTGTGCTGTGGACTTATATAAAGCTTCACACCTCCGAATGACTACACAGATACTGGTGAGCACAGTGTCTTGGCTGGGCATTTCTACTTTTACTTTAGTCTCTCCCTGACCTGCTGCTAACGTTAGTTTCCTTTGGCTCGTTAACATGGTGTCAGGCTGCGCCACTGAAATCATGAAGCACAGCCTGGCCAAACGGACATCAGCGTGAGCCTTTTGCAGTTTGCATGAAAAAGGCTTTTAGTGCACAGAGTTCCAGTAGAGGGTTAGCTCTGGGTATCATAGCTGCTGCAGTCGTCACAGGGCCTGGTGTATTGTGGCCTGACCTCAGCCATATGGAGCTCCTCCCTCTGCCATCAGGCGTCCTTTCAGGTTTTCACTCTGCTCCTTCAGGCCCACTCAGGGTTAGATGTGTGAGGTGGTGCCTGAAATTAGGAAATAGGGGAAGAGAAAAAAGGAAAGGCTTTCACAATTTTAGGAACACATGCACAAGACTGACTGAATGTGCTTAGTTATAACTAAGAAGGCTATAATTACTATAATCCCCTTCTTTGTTCAAGTTACAGGCTTTGGACTGCTCAGAAAATTGCATTTTAAATGCGATGGGACAGTTTGCAAAGTGTATGACACTGACACTCTCTCTGTGCTACTGTCTCTCTTTATCTTACTCCTCCTCTCTGCCATTTAATCTCCCTGTCCCTCCCCCCGACTATCGACCCACAGCAGTACATATTTGCTCTCCTCTCCATCTCTCACTCTCCCTCGGGTGATGGAGGAGCAAAGAGTCTGTCTCTGAAGCACAAGGGGCTACGGCTGCTACAATCCATGCACCCCAGACAAACTCACCCGGTTCTGAAGGGAAGACGTTCCTCAGCTGCTCGATGACCTCTTGGAGCTGCAGCACTGTATCCTGTTCATGCTCCATATCATCTCCTGTCACATACACACACATAATGTTATATCTCTATGAATGGATGAGGGTGGGGTACAAGGAGGAGGATGCATGTTTTCACATTCAGTGTGTGTGCGCATGTGTCAAGCCCACATATGAGCCTTGCTGCACATCGCTGACCTGCTGCTTCAGTGTCAGTGGTCTCTCTGCTAGCTGGCTCCCCGTGGTGACCCCCTCCAGACACAGGAGAAGACAGGGTTGACGGTTCTGATCCGTTGGCCTCTGAATCATCTTTGGGCTGTTTTTAGGAAAGACTGATTATCATTCCTTCCAAATAATTGCTCATATTTATCATGGTTCTGGCTACAAAGTCATTTAGCGCTTCACATAGTAATGAATGTAATGGTTAATGGCACTCAGCCAGCAGTCCTCAACTGGCATCTCTGAGCAGAATAATTTTTTTCAATCAACAATTTTGCCCAACAGTTGTTACACAAAACCATCATGTTACTGTGATTTGTGCTTTGATAAATGACAGATAAAAAGACAGTAAATTGCACTGCATGTAGAAACATTGCAGAAAACACACTGACAGAGGTGGGGGAAGATCTCAAATCACAATCAAAGATGCATAATGTGATTCTTGAGGATATTCCAAAATACAACATACATACAACCTGACATCTTTGTATTGTTTTCAGCAACACTGTAGCAATACTCAAGAGGTGAGTAAGTTCAGTAGTTGCAGTGAAACTGGGGTGCCTGCAGAGATTGGGAGGAATTCATGTATATACTTACAAAGAAAGGCAGATTTTACTGATTTTATTTTTTCAGGAAGTGAAACTATAATATTGGTCCTGGGAGAAATTGAACTGAATAACATTTTTTTGTTTTACCCAACAATGTGTACCTACTCCTTCTCTGGCGCACACTCTTTTCTCTCCACTCTCAATTTACTAGTATTTGACCCGAAGAAGCACCTCCTGTCCCTCTTTCTCAGAATCTTTTTCTCATTGTCACTCCCCCCCTTTGCTTTTTCTTTATTCAGTGACCTGCATACACAATTTGCATCTGTACTCCCGCTGCTCACAATTTACACTTTCTTATTATAGTAACCCAGTAACTGCATAAGTCAGCTCCCACTATCCTCTCCATCTCCTTCTCACACCTTTCCTTTAGACTGCAGTAAATCCTTTCATATCATGCTCCAGAGTCTCTTAAGGCTGATCCTCTTTCTTAACTCTTTCTATTCTGTACTTTTTGCACTCCCACGTCTGCTATTTCCAACTTGCAATGCCATATATATAAGTTCCAATTTTACATTTTAAGAGGCAATGTCATTTTGCATATTTTTGCCTTTTTGTACTTTAAGAATGTATGTGAAGCACTGTGCTAGTTGATGTATGCATTGTCATGCATACAGATGTTGAAAACAATTGAACTTGAATGTGTCTGCCTGTGCCTTTTATTCAAACTGCACACAACAGTTCAGTTACATCTTAGAAATATAGCTGATACAGTTTACCATTAACAGAGCAGATGCTGTTGTTGGACACGTTAGTGACTCTAGGAATCAAACCTTCCGTGTTTAAAGATACAAGATAAAAGTGAGTTTTAAGAAGAGATTTAAAAGAGCATACAGAGTTTGCCTGTCTGAGATCCTTAGGATAACTGAGGGTCCTTGACAGGCTTGGTCACCTTCAGTGACAAGAAGAGATTTTGAAACCATTAATAAGGCCCTGCCAGAAGATCTCAAGCAGAGGTCAGACAGAAATGAACAAGAACTCAGAGGTGGCCAGTGAACGGTGGCAAGAATTAGTGTGATGTGGTCCCTTCTCTTAGAACGTGTTAAGATCCTGGCAGAAGCTGTATGTATAATAAATATAATGTATATAATGTATCAGCTGTAGTCTTTGGATATTTTGCCTGCTTAAATCAGAATAAATTGTCAGGTAATAGTCAAGTCTGGAGTAGATAAAAGCATGGATGACCTTTTATAAATCTTCTGAGGAAAGGAATGACCGGATCTGGGTTAAATGTCTCAGTTGGACAAAGCCGGACAGGCTTATAAAACAGGCCCAGACTAGACCAGTTAACCTCTTAATACTACAAGTGCTGAGGCCAGCAGGGATAATCATAGTTTGCTGCTTTAGAGTCATTCAACAATGCAGGAGATAATAAAGTACACATCATTGGTACCAGTCTGGACATACAGTTCATAACAGCCATGTGGCAATGAAAATCAATATTATATCTACACGTATATATATATATATATATATCCATATCCTACTCTATGGTTTAAATTCCAGGAATGGCTCAGAGAAAGATGTGTTTCAAATTAACAAAAAGATAAACTGGGACATCGTTTGGAGCAGTCCTTTCAAGGCACCAGTAAACCCCAATCTTCAATTAATTTTAAGTTTTGTCATAGTAACTAACCTGGGAAAGACATCTCATGGGTTTATCTCCCCCCTTTATTGTTTGTATTGTCCACATGTAACACCTTCATGGTATGGTGATTGCCCAAACACTGTACACACACATCTCCACCTTAACAAATGGCTCCAGCCCTTCACCTCCTTAATGACTTCTCAGAGTGGCTACACCCAGAAAAGTCATATAAGATATGGCTGAGTGATGCGTGCAGCCAAGAAGCATATCGCTCAAAGTTGGAGATCTCAATCATTTTTTTTTCTTTTTCTGGGGCATTTTCACGTTTATTGGACAGTGACAAGTGAAGAGGCAGAAAATAAATGAGGAGAGAGAGAGATAGAGAGGGAGGAAACATGAAAAAATATTACATTTGTCCACAACATATATTAAGACTAAGGTTTCCAATAATAATAAATAAATATTTACTTGGATTTAAATGGACCTTGGAAATCAATAATAAACACAAATAACCAAACTTTATTATAGCTCAATATACTCAGGTTCACTACAGTTTCAGAGGTTTGGCTCTATTTTCCCAATAGGAATTGGATAAGAAGTAGAAATTCATCTTGCAAGCACCTCAAAACTGTACTTAAGTACAGTACTTCAGTAAATGTATTTATACTACTGCTGAACTCTCTCCATGACACCCCACCACCATGCCTCTCAAAGAGGTGTACCTGTAGCAGTAGCTCCCTGAGCCTGCGTAGCTGAGATTCCAGCTGTTTGTTGTGGTCCTCCAGGATCTGCATAACGGGTCTCCAGGCGCGTCTTTGTGTTGCCGAGGGACTCGTGCCTCAGGCCAGGAGTCCTCATCCTGCTGGGCCTTTCTGCTGTAGGTGAACCTGGACCGCCCTCTCCAGCCTCAGTCAGCATGGGAACTAAATGCGCCTCCTCGTGCTTCCACTTGAGCCTCCTTGTACTCGCCCTTGCAGCACCCTGGAGACCCACAGTGGGAGGACAGGTGGTGGAGGGAAACAGGTCAAGCTACAAACTTAATACACACAGCCATCAAACAAAATGCACACACCTGAAATAACTGTAAGCTATTTATAATTAGGAATAATTTTCACCATATCATAAATAATAGCATATAAAAAACAGGTTGCAGGCAGGGGCTAATGTATTGTTGATATCTTACTACATGGGGGAGGAGCAATCTATCTTCATTTTGGAATTTTTCGAAAATGCTGCAATAAATTCAGTGGGTCTTCCATCTCTTATGTGTGTGCTTAAGGCCAATAAAAACTGTGGCTGTGAAGCATTACTAAAGGTGTTTTAATCTATTTCTTCTATTTAAGTGCCAAAATTAGTAATGACCTTCTTTTTTTAGGACAAAGAAAAACTTCACATATCACAATGTCATCACGCACCTGGATATCAGTCCAGGGATAACCACTTGATTTTTTATTTTATTTTTCGTTGACTTTCTCATGTTTGGACTTTCCACTGTTGTATGTGTAAAAATATAATTGCTTATATTATGTGTATATATTATCATATATATACATATATATATATATACACATATATATATATATATACACACATAGTATATAATACCACATATTATAACATTAAATGATACACATATAAAACATATAATTACACATTATAAAAATATACCTACATATACATATATACAATATACATATATAATTATATACATATTATACATATATGACATATAATATACATATACTACATATACATATATATATATATATACAATATATATATAATAATATATATATTACCATATACATAATAAATAGATATTATATAATATATACACATATATACATATACTTGGTATTTTTTTAAACTTTATTATATTATGATTATATTACCTATACTGGTGATCCACATAGACTATTAATATTTTATGACACAATTGTAGGTATAGTTTCTTATACTATAATTTTTATTTTTTTTAGGTGCAGTACATATCGATCTTTTTTTCATTGGGTATCAAAGGTAAATTGTAGTTTTATTTACAGGTCAGAAGAAAAGAAGAAAACCCTATTTAAAGTAAAAATTGAGTCAATTATTATTTTTATTTATGTTATATTCTATAGTAATAATAAGGAAATTGTGTATGTTTATTAACAGGACTGTAGGCATATTATGTACTTTTGTTTGTGGGGGTAAGGTTTTCAGACACCCAAAGGGCACAAGGTCTGGTGTGTGTGTGTAGTTGTGTGTGTGTGTGTGTGTGTGTGTGTGTGATATATACGTAGCTGCTGTATGTCACTGTGTTTGGTGTGAAAAGTCACAATCCGAAGAAAAGGGACAACAGAAAAATATAATTTATTATGATATTTATCTGCTGTTATAATTTCGTGTCATAGAAGGTTGCCTTTTGTAACCACATGTACAATGGCTCTTGTTGGTTGAAAATGGAATTTGGCTTCATCCTCTATGGAAAGCA